TCTCTCTCTCCACACCCTCTCTCTCCCTTTTTTGGGCGCCATTTGACCAATCAATCAATCCTTAATAATTGATTGATTGGTTAATCGATTCATTGAAAAAAAAAAGAGGCAAAAGAATTTACCTCGATATCGGTATCCCTGGATATGGATATGGCCCATCTCGATATCGGTATCCCTCGATATCGATATGGCCCATCTCCATATCGGTATCCCTCGATATCGGGAGCACGCATTTGCGGCAAGTACGCCACGTGGCAAGTACGCCACGTGGCAAGTACGCCACGTGGCAAGTACGCGACGTGGCAAGTGCGGCCTCACCATATAGTCTCGCGTGGCAAGTGCGCCCTCACCGAATCCCCAGCTATGGGGAGGACGCATTTGCCACATGGAGTACTTGCCCCATCATCTAATCCCATGTGGCAAGTGTGGAGGTGGCGACGCCGAGGTGGCGATGGGAGCGGGATGGCAACGCCCATGTGGCGTACTTGCCGCGTGGCGATGGGAGAGGGATGGCAAAGCCGAGATGGGAACGCCGAGGTGGTGACGCCACGTGGCGATGGGAGCGGGATGGCAATGCCGAGGTGGCGATGGGATCGGGAGCGGGATCGGGAAGCGAAGGTGGCCACGGGCGCGGGATCGGGATCAGAAAGCGGAGGTGGCGATGGGTACCACACTTCGCACGTGCCAAACATCGCACGTGGCGCACGTGCCACGTGGCGCACTTTCCTCATCCCCACGTGGCGTACTTGCCCCATCATCTAGTCCCACGTGGCAAGTACGGAGGTGGCGACGTCGAGGTGGCGATGGGAGCGGGATGGCGACGCCATCTCCGCGTCGAGGTGGCGTACTTGCCCCATCATCTAGTCCCACGGGCAAGTGCGGAGGTGGCGATGTCGAGGTGGCAACGGGAGCGGCAAGTACGCCACGTGGGAAGTGCGGCCTCACCATATAGTCCCACGTGGCAAGTGTTGAGGTGGCAATGGGAGCGGCAAGTACGCCACGTGGCAAGTGCGGCCTCACCATATAGTCCCACGTGGCAAGTGCGGAGGTAGAGACGCCGAGGTGGCGATGGGAGCGGGATCGGGAAGCCGAGGTGGCGACGCCGAGATGACGACGCAGGGCGTGGGATCGGGAGCGGGATTGGGAAGCGAAGGTGGCGACGCAGGGCGCGGGATCGGTAGCGGGATCGGGAAGCGGAGGTGGCGACGCCAAGGTGGCAACGCCAAGGTGGCAACGCAGGGCACGAAATCGAGATTGGGAATCGAAGGTGGCGACGGGAGTGGGATCGGGATTGGAAAGCGAAGGTGCTGATGGGTACCACACTTCGCACGTGCCAAACATCGCACGTGGCGCACATGCCACGTGGCGCACTTTCCACATCACGTCAAGGTTGCGACCAGGTCACCAAGTAATCAATCAATCAATCAATCAATCAATCAATCCATCAATCAATCCATCAATCAATCATCAATCAATCAATCAATCAATCGATTAAGTAATCAATCAATCAATCAATCAATCAATCAATTAATCAATTAATCAAGCGGAATGTGTGTGTGTGTATGCGTGTGTGTCTCTCTTTCTTTTTCTCTTTCTCTCTCTCTCTCTCTGTCTCTCTCTCTCTCTCTCTCTCTCTCTCTCTCTCTCTCTCTCTCTCTCTCTACTAATCAATCAATCAATCAATCAATGGAGAACAAAAGTGAAAAAAACGAAGCAATCAATCAATCAATCAATGAAACAAAAAGTGAAAAAAACGAAGCAATCATTCAATCAATCAAGCAATCAATGAATTTCGATTCATTGATCGCTTGCTTGATTGATTGAAATAAAAAAAAACGTAAAAGAAGGAAAAGAAAAAACGAGCCTAGGTCCGCGGAGATGCGTGAAAGTGCCAGGTCCACGTGGTGATCGGAATCCGGATCCGGACCCTAAGCGAAATAATCACAGGGATTAGGTTGTAGAGTAGATAGGGCGCCAGGCACCATTCAAGAGTGAGAAGCGGGCAGAAGTGAAAAGAAGAAGAAAAAAAAAACGTGGAAGAAAAGAAGAAGAAGAAGAACACGAAGAAGAAGAAGAAGAAGAAGGTTGTAGAGTAGATAGGGCGCCAACTGCCTTTCGCACACACTTCAAATGATCATCAATACATAACAGTTCATTCTCATCTCAGCACACGCACACATTCCCCAACGCGTTTCGATCGGTTGCGCTCCGATCATCCTCAGGGGGCTAACCACACACGCTCGCCTTGCGGCCCACCGTACACACCTTCCGTCTGACTTCTGAGGGTCGGTCTGCCCTTGCCGTCCTATATACTGAATGAAGAAAAGAAGAACACGAAGAAGAAGAAGAAGAAGAAGAAGAAGAAGAAGAAGAAGAAGAAGAAGAAGAAGAAGAAGAAGAAGAAGAAGAAGATGAAGAAGAAGAAGAAGAAGAAGAAAAATAAAAAATAAAAAAAAGAAATAAATAGTTTTAGTACTTACCAGCAGAATCCATTTCGATCGCTCGCTTTCTCTCCTCCTCAAAACCAAAGACTTCTTCGTTCGCCCTTCTCTCTCTTCTCCCGTCACTCTGGTCTCCTTCGTCCGAGCTTACGGCTATGGCCGCTCCTCCAACTTGGCTCCTCTC